AATTGATTTTTATAAATCTGCAAATTTTAGCTCTGCAAAATTAAAGTACTATACGGTAGTCCTTGTCTTTGAGCTAGGATTGTCATCCTTCAGCATGGTATTTTATTTGCTGCAAATATTCTATACTAAAACAATAAGCATAATGTTGAAGCATAGCATACTAAATGAAGTAAAGCTGGTTGCTGCTTCAAGCATTCAGTAGAAGAGTGAAAATCTATTCTTCCACTCATGTTTTGTAAATTTAGCTTCCGCTTCCAACAATTTACGGAGCTTTACTAAAAAAGTAGCTTCTGTTTTTTGGGCATCGAAGGAGCCGACGAAGGAGCAGATACAGCAAGATCCAGACAAAGAGCAGCAACAGCTTCTTCAAGAAAAGGCAAGACTTACTCAGCAACTTGTTGATGCTACCACTCTCCTTGAGCAAGCAGAAAAGGATAAATCAAGTCTTGAATTAGGTACTATTATGTTGTACTGTTGTTTATGTGTACATTGTTTACATTATAATACTAGTGGATTAGACAATGTTGAGTATGGAAATAGTATCCTGTACTCAATATAGGTCAAATTGTCCATGCATTAGAAATAATGAGATTGATGTAGAGTGAGCTCTGCTTACCATATATGGTATCATTAGCAATAATCAGTACATGTAATTTGAGCAAATTTTATAAGCTGCAAATTGCATTTTAATTTTTATCTTTGTACTTTTATTGATAATAGAATATTATAAAAAGCTTGAAGCTCAAATTGCTGATAATAAAGTATATGTAACTGAAATATTGGAGAAGAAGCAGATTATTACTGGTTAGTGTAACATCTAGGGCTGGGACAAAGCTTCCAAAGGTTTGAAGCTTCGTTCAAAGTGCTGCCATTCAAATGAGAAAATAAGCCCTCGAAGCTTCATTATTAGTAGTTATTAATGTTAATGTGGTCAAAAGTTTTCATAGGGATTGTCTACCTAAACCACAAGTTTGACGGTATAAACTGAGGCGGGGTGATGATTTTTGATGTACAATAAACCTTTGAAGGCTTCGAATTTTTTTATGTAGAAACTTTGAATGTTGCAAAGTGACCTTTGTCCCAGCCCTAGTATTATCAGCACATAATATTAAATAAGAGAATATTCTATTAATGTAGAAGATTATGAGAAACTGAAACTCAAAGTTGCTGAACAATTGGAAGAGAAGGAGGAACAATATCTCAAGGAGAAACAGATCATTATTGGTTAGTTAACTATACACACAGCATGTATTAGATGAGAGAATTTGTTTATTGTGTAGATGAGAATCAAAATCTCATTTCTGAGAAAGACAAAGTTATAGCCAAACTGACATCACAAGTTGAGGAACAATTACAGATATTTGCTGGTTAGTGTATCATCATTAATCAATAATAATTATTAATATTCTATTAATTTATAGACCTTAAAGAAAAGGAGTTGTACATAGCCAAACTAGTGAAGGAAAGACAAGAGAGGGTCCTCAAGCAACCTATCAAAGAGACTAGTTCCATTGGACTACAATTTAACTACCTGATCCCTTCAATGGGTAAATTATTCATGTACATGTACATGTACACATGTGAATGATTGTGTGTGTACTATACTGGTATTAGATATGATGTGTCCGTATTGTTTCAGATTCACTAGACTCTAGTGTCATTATAGCTGGACAGAAGCTCTTTATCCTACAAGGAGACAGGTCTCACTCACTCCAGTGGGAGAAATATGGATTCAGATTAGAGTGTCCTCAAGGAGCAGTGTCCAAGGATACTGAAGTAGCTGTTACTGCACTAGCTGGTGGTAATTTCAAGGTACCCAAAGGTACTATGCTAGTGAGTGCAGTATATGCAATATCAGTATCTAAGGGACTATTAAAACCACTGGTAATAGAGCTACAACATTGTGTGGATCTAAGGAAGACTAGTCAGACTGGTTGCCTCAAGTTTGTGAGAGCTCCACTGAAGTCTCCCAATGCTTACCAGTTCAGTATAGTTGAAGGAGGATCTTTTAGTGTAGGGAACAGATATGGTTCTATTGAACGTGATGAATTCTGTGCTTTTGGTATTGTACATGTTGGTAATGGAGACACACCTAATGGAGGTAGGAATGGATCAGAGAATGACACACAAACTCAAGGTATACAATAGTGTTTGTATTAATAATTTACTGTTGATGTGTTTGTATGATGTATAGGAACAAATAATGATTGGGAGAAGGAGACTAATGGAGACACACCTAATGATAGCAGTAATGGAGCAGGAGAGAATAGTGGTGGAGGAGGAGCCACTCCATCAACAAGTACTACACCACC